CCCCCCCCCTGCGTCGATGCCAGTCGGTGGTGCTGCGGCTGAATCATTACTCTCTTTTCATCATCTCGTCCAGAAGCGTGTGGATGAGACAGAGTGGTGATACCGTTTGTGCCCGTCAGTGGAATGTCACTTTGCATTTGGGCGAAGGATGCAAAAGGGCGGCTATGGAACTCTGCAACTCAAATTAATCGAGTAGCAAGAGATTGCAGAATCTCACAGGAAACGTTTGGGATTTACGATTGCGTCGCTGCTGCCGGCTCTGCACACTCTTTGTTTGCTGAGTGAGCTGGGGTGAGACTGGAAGTTGGAATGTGGAGCCTTTTGGGGCGATGCAGCCGAGCGGCGATGGCGGCGATGAGTGAAGAGTCTGACAGCGTTCATCAGGGTCGGATCGACGCAGCGGTGGAAGCAGGATCGAGATGGGGATGTCTACGATGTGCTCATGCATCTGTGTTGGAGCCAGAGCCAGAGTGACGGTGCATCTCGGAGCGGAAGTTAGCGGAAATTTTGGATTCGGCGTCCAAATGGCATCACCATGTTCCAGACAAAGCTCGACAGCGCTGAGAAGGCGGTAGCGCCGGGCGCAGGCAGTCTGCGATCCTGGCGCTGGGAAGCGCTGGGATCGCCACAGCCGGATGACTGGCGTGATGCCTGAATTCGGACGCCTGGCGCGCGGAAGGCCCGCGTGTGAAATGCGCACTGCATCATCGCACCGCTCGGCTCGATCCAGGCTGCCGGCGCGTCCGAATGCCTCGGAACTTTGTCAGTCTGCGAGTCTCGATCGGCAGTCTGTATTCGCGATCTCCAACAATCCACTACGGCTCAATACAACCCCTCGAGTCGAAGCGGGGTCGACTACAAAATTTAGAGTGTGCATGCATCGAAAGGCGGCTGCCCTGCGCTTCACCACCAGCAGCGTCGGCTCGTCCGTGCCCACAGGCGTCCCAGCTGAATCATGGCTCCGCGTCAATGTCGCGGTCGTTGTCAAGTCGAGTCGAGTCGAGTCGAAAAGTGCGGGTGCCAAGTTGCCATGCTGCCTCCAACAGCACAGTTCATGCGCCTTCTCGGACTCCAGAGCCAAGCACGCCAACGGTGCCTTTTTTGGGATCCGTGGTCTGAGCACCAAACGACACTCTTCACTTTGTTCGTTGGCAGCGACTGCATGTTGTGACGCTGTCTGCACTCCAGGCATCCTCCGTCTTTCCCATCACCGACCAACGCTGGCGTCCACCGCACCCATTCATCGCCATCGCCACCACCACCACCACCACCATCGTCACTCTCACTTTGGTCGCTCGATACCTTCCCAACCTCTGCTATCGCCACATTCTATTCACCCTTGCTTCTTCGCCACCCTCCTGTTGACTCGTTGGGATTTGTTTTTTCATTGGCGCTGTCATTTCCATCTCGACACTTCGTCCCCGCCAAGATAGTGCCCACCATGGCCGCCACCGCCGCAGCCTCCTCTGCTAACAAGCGCAAGCCGTCGTTCTCCGACGAGTCGGACTCGGACTCCGATTCCCCTTCCTCCCCATCCAAGAAACACTCCGCCACCTCCACCGCAAAGCAGTCCGCCAGCCAGCAGCTCGTCCCTGTCCCCGGTCAGCCAGATGCGCCCCTCGTCACAAAGCGCACCCTCCAAAATAGAAAGGCCCAACGCGAGTTCCGCAAGCGTCGCGAGGCACGCGTGAGGGAACTGGAAGAGCGATGCCGCCGCTTCGACCAGATGGGCCTAGAGGCAAACACGGAGCTCCAGCGACTCGCACGCAACCTCAAGGAGGAGAACGAGGCGCTCAAGTCGCTCATCGCACGTCTCGGATTCGCCCACATGATCCCCGGCGTGCTCGAGTCCGTCAACGCACACGACCAACACCATCCCCACCAGATCCAACATTCGCAACACGCTGCCCGCCACCACCATCCGCAGTCATTCGCCCCCCTCGACCTCGGCATGGAAGCCTGGGCAAGACAGCCCGCACCAGCTTCTTCCATCTCCGCTCCTTCTCTCCACCAGCCCGGCGCTCCCGTCCCCGCATCAGCCCTCGACCAAAACAGCGCTGCCACCGCCTCGATTACCAAGCAGTCCAAGCGATCCCGCGGCTCCACTTCTGCAACCAACACCTCCGCCTCAGCCGCCACCTCTTCCCTTTCCCACATGCCGGCATTCACAGAACTGCTCCCCACCACCGCAGGCAACGTCAACCCCAGCCTGCTCAGCGACACCTCCTCCCACCCTTCCAAGCACTCGCTACCGGGCACCACCGCCGCCATCGCCATCCCTGCCACCGACAAATCCACCACCACCGCTAGGCCCATCCACGACAATAGCACCTTTGACAACGATTGGTTCGCTCAGCTCGCACAGTCCGGTCACGACAAAGACGAAGCCGACATCAACGACGGCGCTACCAAGCTTGAAAAGTCCACCAATAGCAATACGCTCCCCAACGATCGCACATCCATCAACCCCATCCTCTCCCTCAATCTCGGCGGCAACAACAACAACAACAACAACAACAACAACAACAACAACAACAACAACAACAACAACAACAACAACAACAACAACAACAACAACAACAACAACAACAACAACAACAACAACAACAACAACAACAACAACAACAACAACGACTCCAAGCCCAACGCAAAGCCATCCGACGCACTCAACGCCAACTCGGCGCTCACTGGTTCCGCCATGCTCGGCGCCAACGCACGCGACTTTGGCCTCGGCCTTGCTAGTGCCCTCGGCATCCCAGCCTCATCCGCCCCGGGCTCCAACATCTTCCCCATGCCCATGCCCACCCACCAGAACGGCGCTCTGCTCAACCCCAACCCCATCCCCTTTGCCTTCAACCTCAGCGACAACCAAGCTCCCGGCGACCAGAGCTGGTGGTCGCAGGTCGCAGGAAGCGTGCTCGAGGGCGACGACAGCGTCCTCGACGAAAAAGCGCAGGCAGTCGCACAGGCTACCGGCACCTCGAACAACGGCGCTCCGTCTCCCTTTGACCTCTCTGCCTTCCTCAACGGCGGCCTCACCCCCGGCGGCGGATTCACCTTCGGAAGCCAGTCCAACAACGACACTGACGATGCACACGATCCGCAGAAGAGCAGCTCTGCAAGCAGCGCCACCTTCCCCGACGACGCTGTGAAGCCAAACAACGGCAAGGCTGGCGAGACCCAGTCGTTGACACAAGCAGAGCATGCACAGATGTTCCTTCGCCTCCTCGAGGCAAAGATGGCCAAGCGCGACCCAAGCCCGTACGCCCAACTCGGATTCCAACCGCCTACGCACCAGCAGCAATACGCCGCATCCCACCAAGCTGGTCCCAGCTTCTCCGACGCCAGCTCGTCATCCTCGGCCTCCTCGTCGTCGAACGACAAGGCCGCATTCAAGCAAGACGACGACTCGTCGCTCTCGCCAATCAATGTCTACTCGCGCCTGGCCCAGCATCCCGCCTTCCTCTCCACCAACGCGAGCGAACTCGAGGAGCTTGTTGACTCGATCAGCTCGTCGCAACACCAACGACAGCAGTCGCAGTCGCTCTTCCAGCCGCCTTTCAACAAGCGAAGGTCTTCGCCCGCCAAGCCAGCGCCTGCGCTCTACCCTCCGTCCGCATCCGGTCTCACCCCGAGCATCTACGGGCCCAACGGCGCAGCCGCGCTTGCCAGCCGCTCGTCGTCCTCGGCCAGCTCGCATGGCGGCAAGGACCTCGAGGTGGACGAGAATGCAGTCACCAAAATGCTTGGCCTGCTTGACCGCAAGACCTCGCGCGAAGCTGCGACCGCCGGTGGCGGCGGTCTCGGCTTCTGAGTCGCCGCGACAACCTCCTTGGTCCCTCAACGTCGTCATTGAATTCGCCTTGCTTCGCACAAGCTTTTGTCCTCTCGTCTCCTCAGTTTCCCTGTCACATGTTTTTGGATCCTCGTCTCCTATGCCGCACCGTCTCTCTATCTGCTCGTCTCGCCCCTGCACAGCTCGCTCCGTCTCTGCCCACAGCTTGCCTTGTACATCTAGGATCCATCGCGCAATTTGCCATCTCCACCGCTGCTCAACCGTCCACAACCTTGAAGCAACAACCCGCCGAGCCAGGCGTTGTGACAGACAGCGACAGCCGTACAGTTGAAGTAGAGGTCTTTGATTGACGCGAGCGATGAGGAAAGTTTCAGCAGAGCGCATGATGCTCTGCATCAGCTGTGAAGCGCAATCAGAGGTTGGCGGTGAACTGGACACCCTTGGAGATGTTGCCGTTGAGGTCGGCGACGGCCTTCTTGATGAGCTCCGACTCGTACTCGTTGAGCTTGCCCAGCGGCAGGATCTTCTCGACACCGTTGGGGCCGAGCTGGAGGGGCACCGAGAAGAAGGCGGTGTCGTTGCCAATGACCGAGGTGACCTCCTTGGCACCCGCAGCGTCGGCGGTGAGGTCGACGTAGCCCATCTCGGGGTGGGCGAGTGCCTTGCCCGAGGCAGCCTCGAGCACGGCGATGGCGAAGCGGGCACCGGCGTAGGCCATGGAGAGCGTGGCGGAACCGGCGCCGTCCTTGGCCTTGACCACCTCATCGCCGCCGAACTGGATGCGGTTGGTGAGCTGCTCGATCTTGTCCTGGCCGACCGAGATAGGCGGCTGGCTCTGGCTGAGGAGCGGCACGATGGTGACACCCGAGTG